TGACCCCGTTCATGGCCCTGTAACTTTGCTCAGCAATTTAGTGTTAGCTGCTCCCTTCTGATTTCTAGTGGCATTCCACCCAGCTCTGCTCATTATGCTGCTATTGGGGTTGTTTTACACGCAGGTGCGCTGGGTGCAATTGTATGTTTGTATGTATCTGATGCTGAACCATACACTACAATACTCCATAATCTAATACTGGCCTGATAAATCTGCTGTATATGGTCCTCATAGAATTCCTGTCTGCTTAGTTATTTTCAATTAAACATATGATTACATTTAACACTCTTGCATTTCTTACTGTTTTTCTTCATTGTGTGTGACCCATGTAATCCTTTCATGAAACCACGACCAACTCTTGATTACTTACATTTTCCAGTGTAAAGCTTCCCATGACATGTATGTATTTATCCTTCTGTAGTTTTTAAAAGAAATGTATCTGTGTAATAATTTGTAATGCCTATTTTCCTCACTTTCACTAGTTGACCTTCTCTTCACATTGTGTCATATTGTATATCATGGCACTTTGTTTGTTTACATTGCCTTTTCTAATTTCATGTTTTAAACATAAAGCTGGTTCAGTTGTACTTCTCCCTCTTCTAAGCCCACTTTCCATTTTATTATCTATATAGTACTTTAACCATTCATTTCATATATTCTCCATTGTTTTGCAGATTTGGATTTTTAAGTTACTGGTCTGTAATTTCCTAGTTCTCTCTCATCTTTCCCTGGTTTTCATATTGTTACTACCACTGCTAACAGAGCCTCCCAGTCTCTGTTACACAGCTCTAATAAGATATTTCTAGATGTCTCACTAAGATTGGTTATTAGATTTTCTCTTAGTGCTGAATCTGCTTTAATACTGATTCTGTCCCAACTTCCATCATTTAGACATAAAACATTTTCCATATTTCCATTTCTTCCTCGTGTCTCTTGTGCAGCTGAAGTAATTTATTTTATTTCAAATATTTATTTCAGTTATGTCACAAGTTAAACTAAACAGGACTCTCTGGCTGCATAGTACTATGCACTCGTAGACACGATATGAAAACTGTTTGACTCCACAGCTAGAAGGAGAGCCTCCATTACTCCTGGATGCCAGAGTCTAAGATGTGTGCTGTTGCAGTGTAATAAAGAAAAAGTATGCAGAAACCAAACAGATGTGAAAATACTAATTTAATATGAAACAATAATATGGACTCAAAGTAAAATGAAATCTTCCTATCATGTTTGGCTTATCCACAATTATTCAAAATCAAAAGTTATTATCAAAGTTTACATCCTGAAATAATACTATGGTTAAATTTTAACTAACAAACTGCTCTTTGTCTAAAGCAATAGTTACTTCTGAGTGGCATTCATTAATTCCAGTGAGAGCCTACTACATGGGTTGTAAAAACTGACTGACTAAAAACGTCTTCCTGTGTCTACCCCAGTCTTGAGACTGTGCAGGGAGACACAGCAAACCATACTGGTTGAGATGGAGTGCCTGTGCAGTCTGAATGGACTGCTTGTTTCACAGCGAGCCTGAACTGTACCTGCAATAAAACATTAAATAGCTGTCTACAAGTGTCCAGACATATTCAGGGGTGCTGCAGCACCAGGTGAACTCACCATGAACAGTTTGATTCTAAATTTAGGGTTTAATTGGTAGATTTTTGGATGCTTGCATTTATTGTCCCGGCTTTATTATCAATTTTAGCACATGCTGCAAAACAACTCAAAATTTCTAAAAATCATACAGTGACACTTACATTTTTAGATCCTGCTCCCATTTTGTTTCGCTTTTTTCTAATCAGCGCATTTAAAAAGTGTGAGAGGAGCACAGAAAACAACGAAGCACATGAGCTGCTCTCTTCTCTTCTATATCCTGCAGTCTCACACATGGTGTGTCTTTCTGCCTTTACTGAGCTTTGTATTTTTACCGAGACAAGAGTGTCAAATAACTGAAGGTGATGGTGAAATACATATCTTGTTAAGGCCTTTAATCCGGTTAAACCCACCAATTTCAAGATCAGACTGCACATTACTGCTATCCCTGGGGAAACTGAGTAATTGGTGCAGCAAATATAAAAAGGTCCACGGGGGGAAAGGTTAATCATTTTTACAGGATAACACATGCAACATGGATTAAATGGATGTCCACCAATTTTCACAAAAAAATATGTCTATGTGACCTGGTGAATGCCTGCCTCTTTAAAATAAAAATTAACTTTTTAAATAGGCAGAACAAGGAGAACTTAACAACTTCTCAAACATATTTATTTATTTCATATTTATTTCATATTTTCATATTTATTGCACTTTCTACTGAAGTGTAAAAATATATTTCAGATAATAATTTTTCTTTGAAACGAATACAAACACACGGCAGCTGAACATGTATGATAGTTTTGCACTTTAAGTTTAACATGAACTGATCTATATAAATATATAACTCTGAGATTGTTGACATGCTTGTCTCAGGATAATGTGATGGATAAAAATGCCTGATCCTAGTTTTGCAGACATGCAATCCCAAACCTATCAGGAAGCTCCAGCGTGCTTCACATGTCGCCTAATCTGTCTCCTCACAGTCCTGTGGCTCTCCAGCCTCTGTGTTAGAGTCAGAAATCTCAGCTTCTGAATCTTCAGTCCAGACCTCCTGCTCCCATTTATTGTCATCCCAGTTCTGCTGTTTCTGTTCACCTGAGAGTGTCTTGTCTTCGCTCGTTTCACACATCAGGACCTGCTTTTTGCTCCCTCTCCTCCCATTTAGACCGCTCCTGGCCAGACTCCTCCGCACAGTGGACGGGTGCACCAGAGTGCCGCTGGTCACCGCCAGCTCTGAGGTGATGGCGCTACTGGAGATCTTCCTATTTCGCTGCAAAGTCATCTTAATGAGTCTTTCGTCCGCTTTACTCAGCTTCCTCGGTCGGCCGCTACGTTTCTGATCTTCAACCGTGCCCGTTTCTTTGTGCTTTTGCAGAAGAGCTTGGACAGCACATCTGGAAACACCTGTCTGCCGCGAGATTTCTACCTGTGAGAGACCTTGCTGGTGCAGGCTCACCACCTTGTGTCTCGTTTCTATGCTCACTTTAGCCATGGTGTTTGATCTTTCTGATTCCAGCTGCCTCACCTTATCCAGGCAGGCAAGATGGGCGAATCACAACCACAACAGCAGGCGGAAGTGCTCCTTCCTCACGGTTTTCGTTGGCACTTCGACCCTCGTCGGAGATGCTAAAATGGCATAATCACAAGTTATTGAATATTACCATATGAAAATGCACGTTAGCTCTTTATCATTGGCATTTATTTATGGTGGACGTCCTGGATTTCAGAGAGCTGCTGCAGAGATGAGATCACTGCAGGGCTGCATTCACATCCAGTGGAACCAAAGGGCAACAATGTGTTCCTGGGCCCCCGAGAAAACAGCAGCTACACTGATTTGAAAAGATTGGCTGATTACTGCACCCATCAATATTATTAATGAGAAATATTGATGAGCTGTCAATAAAATCAAGTGTTGATGAATTAAAGTAACCTGATTTATTATTGACATAAACAGGAGGGGGGGGGGGGGGGGATAGCCTGCTACCAGACAGAACTGTTTACTCTGGCATCAGATACCAGACAAACACAGGAGGACAGAAGAGGGAATCATTTCTGGGTTGTGTTGAAACATTGGTGATAATATTGAAAGAAAACCAGTGTGTTGAAGCATTATGCCTATATTGTATGTTTTTCGATATATAAATAAAATACTTTCTGTTGTAAATTTATGCAGAGGTACAAGTTAGCACATAAAAATTTACCAGAGAAAATTGGATAGACTCCCAACGTAAGCTGTCGGATTGCCTCAGTGCTCAGCTGAGCATATATGTGCACGAGTAACTGCCACCAGTTAGTGTCTGCTGTGATGCCTCTTTCTTTATAATATCCCAAAAAACACATTTAGGAGGGAAAATAAAATTACGTTACTGCAGGTCCCTGTGGACTACAGTGAAACCTGAAGCACTGCTGTGAAGGTCAAAGTGTTCAGTTATTTTAAGATCCTCAAATGAAATTTAGACCATTGCAGCTCCCATAGTTACAAAGCAACCAACAAAACTTTTCAGCTCAGTACCAATGCTCTTTTTTCCACTGTCATATAGGTAGCACACGTTGGATATGCCTTCATTGTGGTTTCTCATTTGTCATAGTAATCACTGAAGCTAATTGTTGTTGCTGATGACTAATTTTCTAGTTTGATCTGAAGTCCTGATCAAAATTACTGACTGACTTGGACAATGAACTGGCCACGTTCCAAGCTTCATATGTTTCTCATTCTATGTCTCTCTTTGGCGTGCTGCTCTTTCAAAGAAGGTTTTTCACTCTGATGACCTGCATATGTTGCATGACATAGCGCAGGGTTGTCCATCTGTCTGTTTGTCTTTTGATTACATTCTTCCAGCTGTAATATTTGTGGAAAGATATGTTGACAATGTAGACAATTCAATCCTTGTTTTAAAACACATTAACATTAGGTGGGACCGCATGGACTTATATCTAAATATTAGTGCCATAAATACGATTTGTATCATTTGTAAATGTTTAGGATTACAAAGGCTACCTCATGTGTTATACAACAGCAGTGCAACACATTTGTGACAACATTTTATTCCATAAATAAACAAAGTTGTTCATGGCATGAACAGTATTTTACAAAATACAAGCACCTGGCGTGTGATTTTGTGAACAGTGAGTAGGTTTTCACCATAGAAACATTTAAAGGGCTGACAAACATATTTCACAATCTTTAAATACAGTTTGTTCCAACATAAAGTGTGCCTCTATTTCCTCTCTGTTACATCAGTGAAACACATATGCTTGCTTTTAATCTTTCGTTTGGAAAGCTATGAATAGATTTTATTTACTTTAGATTGGTGAAATCAACTCAAGGAATGTTTCTATATATGGCAGTATGCAAAACACTATACAGCTGAATCCAATCTGGCTGAAAAGACTGGCTCATTCAGGTACCACTAAATGGGATGAATATTTTATTTCTCAAAGTAAAAAGATTTATCCAAACAGCTTGATGATCCACACCAGTTGTTTAGTCTCTCCAGATGCTGTTATCCAACAGCATGTTGTTCTCACTCTCTCGCCTTTGTTGGCTGCTTTTTACTACACACGATATCTTTTTATGTGCCAAATAACATACAGCATGCGTTGCCTTCATCCTTTGAAACGGTTGCTAAAATTCAGAGAGGCAGCATATCCAGGCGCGCAGACTTTGCACGGTTTGCCCTGCAGGAGTTTCCCATTTTTAGTAATGCGCTACCTTCACTTGGACTCGGGGGGATTTTTTAAGCTTAGATACAAAGTGCTGACCAGCGTCGCTTCCTCGTGCACTGAGTCCTTTCCGCCTGAATGCCTCCTGCACAGGAGCGACACCAGCCTCTTGGGAACCTGACCGCTGAACAAAAGGTAAATGCAGGGATTCGCGCAGCTGTTCAGGCTGGCAAGCAACATCAGGATGGTGAAAGTAGCAGCTGGAATTAAAACAGGAGGGCAAAGTGTCACGTGTCTGCCAAGCAATCTCATCTGCCACCTAGAGATTAGTAATTTGTGTTTGTGCGTAAATATGCTCAGGTTCTGTGTAATTAGAAAACGTAAAAGACCAAATGAACTACATTGATTATGACGATCACACAGCAAATATACGCAATACTTACTTTCTTTAGGCGCCTGCTTGTCCCACGCGGACCACAGCTGGACAGTGAAAAACGGAGCCCAGCAGACAATATAAGCAAGTACTATGACCACCGTCATCTTCAGTGTTTTCACTCTAGCCTTCGACATGCCAGCCACACCGCTGGCTCTGGATGGCAAACCCACCGTTCCTTTCTGCTGAGTCTTTTGGTAGATGTTGATCTGGATGGCTCGGCAGATGCGGACTTGGCAAACAACAACTGTGATAACGGGTAAAACAAAAATGACCAGCGTGGTCCAGGTGATGTAAGTCTGCAGCCCCCATGGCTGGATAAATGTAGCCCAGCAATCAAACACACCCGGTGTAACCTCCACCTGTGAGAAAATGAAGACCTGAGGCAAGCTGCCCAGCAGAGAAATCCCCCACGCAACGCACACGGGGACATTTAGTCTCGTGCGTGTCCGCTGAAACTTTACCATCGGGTTGCAGATAGCCTGGTACCTGTCAACTGTCATCACCACGATCATGTAGGTCGATGAAAACATGCCGAGAACTTGCAAATATTTCACAAGTCGGCACACCAAGTCCGGTCCGACGAACCTGTCTGTGATGTCCCACAAAAGCTGCGGACACACCTGGAAGAAAGTGACCACCAGGTCCGCCAGGCACAGGTGGAACACGAAGACGCGCATTCTGGACATCTGTTTGCGCTGTTTCCACAGGACGAGCAGCAGGCTGGTGTTGAGGACGGCGGCGCTCACGAAGACGACACTGAGCAGCGCGATCTCCACCTTGGCCAGGCTCTCATCTCTTGGCACATCCTGTGCCTCCACAAAGTCACTGTCATTCATTGTGATTGAAGACCTTCGATGTTGACGAAAAGTATCTGAAATGAAGGAAAAATAGAAGATTTTCATTTTATGCAAACAAACAAAAGTCAAAACGTAATTTCCCATGATAAAATATTGTTGAAAAGAAGATTCTGTTCCATAGAAGTAACTGCAATGTGGCTTATTTCTGTATACCTGCTTAAACCTCAAATAATATTGAAGGCGAATGGAAGCTTTACTCCTGCAGTCGAGTTCAGCTTGCGAATGCTG